ATGGAGTGGTGTCATCCCAGCCACTTCCGGGCTCTCACACCCCACCTCTCCCCTCCCCCCTCCCCATCCCCACTCCTACCCTAACTTCCAGTTCCCAGGAATCTCCTGCCCAAGCCTGCAGGTCGCATTCTCTTCCCTGACCCCCGGCTCCAGCCAGACTGCCACTCCTTCCCCACCTCATGAGGTCCGACCTCCCAGCCTTTGCTCAGACTGGTTCTGCTACCTGGAAATTCAGCCCCTCCTTTTCTGAGTCAAAATCCTCCAGGTTCTTTCCAATTCAGCCCCACCAGAAAGTCCTCCCTGACACCCACCCCAAGCTGGTGGAGCCAACGCCTCCTTTTCAACTCTACAACTCTGTTCCCAGCACGCTCCATGCATCTCTCTGGGTTTTCCTCTCTCACCATCCTTGTAAGCTTCAAACCCTGTTATTTTCTCTCCCTGATGGGGGAGGGGAGTCACGGTAGTGGGTCCACAGGTGAGTTGGTCCTGGGCCTCCCCTTAGCACCCACCAGAACCCTGTGCATCAGAGATGCTGGTGGCACCCATCGATGAGCCAGTGAATGAGTAGATGGCTGCAGGGGTATCAGACCCAGGGTCACCCTGCAGCTCATCAATTCTGAAATGTCCTTTCTTCTCCTGTTAGCATCCTTGACATCCGGCTGCATCTGACAATCAATGTGCTCTGGTCTAACCAGCAATGTTTTCTTTCTTAATGATCCGTAAGTAAGTAACAGTTCACCTTACAACCCACTGGACGGTGACTTACAACACATTTTACGTAGCATTTCACACATGGTATATAATAAACACCTTCTTACTGGGCAAAATACAGAAGACAGGTCTGTCTCTGCCCCCTCCCCCCACAATCCTCAGTCTCAGGTGATAGCTATCCCTCCACAGTGTTTTGGATGGATCCTCCAGTGCTCCTGAAAGACACACAGCCCCGTGGGCTCAGGAGGAGCCCTGCCCTGAGCTGGGCTTCCATCTCCCCACAAGCACAAGGGAGGGCCATGGTGATCAGGCTGGTGCTGCGTGCTCTTACTGCTGTCTGCCTCCGTTCTCTTGAGAAGGATCACTGTCCCCATCCTGGAAACCTTGTCCCCAGAGGTGCCCTTTTCTTGGCTGCCTGTTTGATAGCCAGAACCACAAGAGAGGATGGAGGGAAGGCAGTCTGATCTGGGGGAACAGGTTTCTCCTCTTTTGTGCAGAGAACAAAGGGGCAAGAACAGGATATTCTGACTTCAGCTCCACGGGGGTGATGACGGTGGGAAGGAGAATGGTGAGGAGGAAGCGGGCAGGTCTCCAGGATCCATACTCCTGTTTCTCCCAGGCTGTGCTACTGCCTGCCTCCTCTAAACACAGTGTATCTTAACTGCCTGCTCACCCTCCACTTACCCTTTAGGGTTAGGAGAGCTGCAATGGCTGGGAACATATCTCCTGCCCCTGGCTCAGAAAGCCAATGTGTGTGTGTGTGCTCAGTCACTTCAGTCATGTCTGACCCTATGGACAGTAGCCCACCAGGCTCCTTCGTCCATGGGATTCTCCAGGCAAGAATACTGGAGTGGATTACCATGCCCTACTCCAGGGGACCTTCCAGAGCCAGGGATTGAACTCTCATCTCCTGTGTTTCCTGCATTGCAGACGGATTCTTTATGCACAGGATCACCTGGGAAGCCCAGCCACATAAATAATAAAAAATATTGCAGGGAATCCCTGGCACTCCAGTGGTTAGGGTGCCACACTCTCACTCCCGAGGCTGCAGGTTCGATCTCCGGTCAGGGAACTAAGACTCCAAAAGTTGCGTGGTGCAGCCAGAAAAAAACAAAACAAAACAATAAGGCAGTGACTAAAGCAGGATCCTAGTTTCTCCTCAAGGGATACCTTTGAGTTTTTCTGCAGGAACTAAGGTCTCCACCCTGGTGGAGTATGAAAACTTCAGACTGGAGCACAAGATTCCTAGAGCACCATTCTGTTACCTCACTACCATCCAATCAGAAGGAAGTCATATACCTTGCAGCCTTCACCCCAAAACCTACAAAATCTGCCTGAAAACCATCGAGGAGTTCAGGGGTTTTGAGCATGAGCCACCCATTTTCCTTGCTTGGCCCTGTAAAGAACTTTTTTCTGCTCCAAACTCTGATATTTTAGTTTATATGGCTTCACTGTGCCATGGGCACATGAACTTGTGTTTGGTTACAAGAGGGGACGCTAAGGTGGGGTCATAATCCCTAGACCCGGCAGATGGGAGGGGATCAGCAATCCTTTGCGCCCTTCCTCTTCCTTCTGTCTTCAGATAGAAGCCTCAAGGAAGTCGGGGCCACACAGCAGGTCCAGGGGACAAAGCAAGACTAAGAGGGGGCAGGGTTGGTCCCTGCTGTCCTCAGGGGTCCCCTCCAGAGGCCCTGCACATGCATTCAGCATGTCCCTGCTTGCCCGTCCTACCTGCTAGGTGGCCCAGCTCCATTGGCTCTTGCTGTGGAACAGGTAATTCCAAGCTTAGTCCTGCAGATAAAGAAACACACAGGGTCATCTCAAATGACAAGTCTCTATAAACAAAGATGAATGGAGGGCTGAACAGGGAGACCGGTGGCCATCTGCCCAGCCCCTGATCAGAGGGCTCCCTGTGCAGCCTCCAGGGCTCTCTGGCACCAAGGAGCCTCCTGCTCCATCCACTCATCACCCCTGGCACTGGATCTGCTTCCTGGACCCTGGCAGTCTGGGTCACCCCATTCCCAGTACTTCTTTCTCAAGGAACCTGGGGTTCCTCCTCCTCCTTTACAATCTTTTTTTTCCATTTTCTCCCCCATCTCTACCACCCAACTCTCTCTAGGGGCCCCCAGCAGGCACCTAGCTGGGAGGGGCATTGCCCCAAGCCCCCCATCCTAGAGACTACTTGCCTTCTGCAAATAGGATTTTGTCTGTTTTTACTAACTGGTCATTCAAAAAGAGGAACCAGCTTGGCCAACATGGAGGAGAGCCAAGAGCAGGAATTAACCCTGGGATAATCTCTGTCTTTCTTCCAAAGAACAGGCCTTTGGGTCAAATTTGAGGGCCAGCGCTGGCATCTTCAAAAGCCTCTGCAGCTTTCAGGTTTATGTTCCTTTCTTCTAAGTGAATTTTTTCCTTATTCATATTCTCTTATTGTTTTGCATGTGTTTTTAAAGGACTTTTGTGAAATTTGTAATATGAATAGGATAAAAGGATTTATTGTATAATGGATAATACCTAGATCTAAGTGGTAAGTATCTTTTAATAAGGAAAGCATAGAAGCATCAAGTTAGAGCTGGAAAGGGTCTTTGAGATTAGTTAATCCAATCCCTTTATTTTACAGATAAAGAAACTGAGACTCAGAGGGTGTGATTTGTCGGGTCACCCAGCGAATTGGTCTCCGCCAATAAACTCAGAGAGGTTAAGAACGAGAAGAATTGTATTCTCTTAGAAAATCACCCCTGTTAATTTTGACTTAATTGTTTGGTGATTGTGCAGCTTCTGATATGACTTTGAATGACCCTTAGCCCCCTGGTATTCATATTATTCATACACTGTATTTCCCCTCAACCCTTGAGTCTGGGCTAGACCTAGTGACTTGCTACCTTTAAATAAACAAAAAAATTATTTCTGTTTTGGCTGTGTTGGGTCTTAGTTGTGGCACACAAGATCTTCATTTCATCATGCGAAATCTTGCATTATGTAGCAAGTGGACTCTAGTCGTGGCTTGTGGGCTTAGTTGCTCTAAGGTATGTGGAATCTTAGTTCCCCAACCAGGGACTGAAGTTATGTCTCTTATACTGCAAGGCAGATTCTTAACTACTGAACCACCAGGGAAGTCCTGGAAGGGATGCTTGTCATCAGAAGCTGGCGGGTGGTCTGAGGTGGACTGTGACTTGTCTTGTTCACATTCTCTCTGACTCTTCTTGGCTCTTCTTATGCTGATGGAATCAGCTTCTGTGTTGTGAGCTGCCTTCTGGAGAGGCCCCCATGGCAAAGAACTGAGGGCCTGTGGCTACCAGATCCAGAAGAAATGTGACTCAGTTCAACAATCTGAGGGACTGAGTCTTACCTTGGGCATGGTCATGGAAAGAGGTCCTTCACTAACTGTCCTTTGAGATGAGACAGAAGCCCTGGCCAATACTTTGATCACCGTCTGTGAGAGATCCTGAGACAGATGGCCCATTGAAGCTAATCTGTATTCCTGACCCACAGAAACTACGAGGTAATAAATGTTGTCTTAAGTCACTCAGTTGGGGGGTGATTTATCATACAGCAGGAGATGACAAATGCAGCTCATGTGTTAAGCATTCCCCCATCTAGGAGTCTAGCCTCTTTTCACGAGGACTCAGTGAGGTGTTTGGAGAATGTGTTAACTCACCCTCTTTCACAATTGGGAAAAACTGAGGCTCAGAAAAGAAACAGGACCTCTTGCAGGTGGTGCTGAAACCAAGCTCCACTCCTGTCTCCTTGGAGTTCTCTTTCTGCTCCTGCCCCTGTTCCCCATCCCCAGCCACCCCCCGCCCCCAGTATGCCCACTGGAGCTCCCCATCAGCTCTGGGGACACCCCCAGTCCAGAGTGGCCTGGAGTGGTTTGAACAGAAGTATAGGCTCACTGCCAGTTTCTGACCTGGAGAGAAAGATCCCAAGAGACGTTGGTCAAGGAGGGAGGGAAAGTAGATCCCTTGCGGTCTGGGAGCTCCACTCACAAGCAGCTCTGCATAGAGAGAAAGAAGATGAAGCCCCGTGTCCTGGCAGACTCCTGGCCCACCTCAGGGTCCCTGCCTCGCCTGTCCACTCTCATAAAGTCAGAAAACATGTGAACTGCCCTGGTGTGTGCCGAGGCCCAGGAGTGCAGATCTGCACCACACAACTGCTGCTGGAGACCAGTGGATCGTTGCTGGGGAGCAGCCCACCCTGTGCATTGGAGTTGCTATGGTGATCACTGTTCACAGGGCTCTGTTACCTCAGAGGGCTGATAAGCCCACCCTGGGCAACAGAGGCCGGGGAGAGCCAGGACTGAGCGGGCAGCAGGGGCCTCCAGGCATTGCTCACTCTCTCATCCACTCAAAGTGTCCCAAGTATTCTTCATAGGTTTGGTTGCATGTTAGGCACAGATGGCTCAGATGCCATCAAGTGTGAAGGATGTTCTTGGGATTACAAATTTGTTAAGAAGAGAGGGTAATTAGTTTTATCTAGGGAAAAAGATGCGGGGCTCACAGACGGGCCATTTGAGCTGGGTCTTGATGACCAGTTGGAAGAGACTAGACTATTAAAGGCCCAGGTGTGATTCTGAGCATAAAGTAGGTTAAGGGGAGTGGGGAGGGAAAAGAAAGATGCACCTGGAGCTGTCTGAGCTGGTTTCAAAGGGATGCGGGATCAGAGCAAAATGAGAGCAGGGGTGGGACCGCGAGGATCTCCTCTCTTCCCCTTAAGCCCCAAGGTTACTGTCTTCTCGCAGCTTCCTGATTCCTGATGCCAGAGCTCTGAGACCGTCTCCCAGGGACTGAATCTGTTTCTCTGGTCTCTCCCCTCATCACTCCTCAAAAGGTCTTATTCTGAGCCAGGAAAGACACCCAAGGTAGAGACCACCTTCCTTTGGCCTACCTACTTTTTTTTAATTTAATTTTTCTTTATACTACCATATAATTAATTATCATGTTGTGTTTCAGGTGTACTGCAAAGTGATTCAGTTATACATATATTTATTTTTTCAGATTCCTTTCCCATATAGGTTATTAAAGAATATTGAGTAGAGTTCCCTGCGATATACAAGTCCTTGTTGATTACCTATGTTACATTAAGAAGTCAGTATACGTTAATTCCAAACTCCTAATTTGCCCCCCACCCCCAACCTTTCCCCTTTGGTAACCATAAATTTGTTTTTGAGGACTGTGAGTCTGTTTTTGTTTTGTAAGTAAGTTCACTTGTATTATCTTTTTAGATGCCACATGTAAGTGATATCATGCGATGTTTATCTTTCTCTGACTTACCTCACTTAGTATGATAATCTCCAGGCCCTCCATGTTGCTACAAATGGCATTATCTCATTCTTTATTTATGGCTTAGCAATATTCCATTGGATATATAATACATACCACATCTTCTGTATCCATCCATCTGTTGATGGACATTTAGGTTACTTCGATGTCTTGCTTATTGTAAAGCATGCTGCAGTGAACGTTGGGTTCATTGAGCATCATCTGAGCATCACCACTTCTGAAAGACCCCAGGGCCTGTGGGACACTGCTCTGAACACTCATTTCAAGTGGAAGACCAGTTGTCTTCTCTTCCACCCCCTCCTCCCACAGGGCTGGACCCACAGCAGGAAGGGGTGGCCCCCAGCAAGCCTGGGGCTCACCCTCTTTCTGGCTTACTGATACCCTTTCCAGGTAAGGTCCTGGTGTGCTCCATCTGACAGCCATCAACAGGCAACTTCTTTTGCCAAAACTAAATAATAAAGTGGTATTCCCAATGTGGGGGCTGCTGTGACATTTCCTTCCTTGGTAGGTTCTAAGGAATTTGAAAGAGAAGGAAGTACAAGGCAAGGATGGAACCAGGGAGAAAGAGGCACACACAGCTACTTGAAAAGGCCAAGTTTATTCCAGTGTTTTTGGGGAAAGGAGCACTCTACACATTAATTCTAAAAACTTGTCAATTTCCCTGGCTGAGGAGGTAAAGATTAGCTGCAGGCCATGCCGGATCACTCCACCGGCAGGAGTTGTGGGCAAGGGGAGAAGAGGCCACCACTAGGCCTTCCCACCCTTCCCCTGGGACACCCGGGTCTCCGGGGGGGCCCGATGGAACCACTCAAACCAGGAGCCATCGTAGATGGCCACATCGGGCTTGCCACAGAGGTAAGCGGCCAGGGCAATGTGGCAGGCAGTGACACCCTTCCGGCATGTGGCAATGAGGGGCTTTGCGAGGTCCACCTTCTTGGCCTCAAACATGGCACGGAGCTCCTCCGGGCTCTTTTCAAAGCCATCCTCTGTCAGGAAGTCCATGAAAGGCATGTTGACCGAGCCTTGGATATGACCTGAGTCCAGTCCTGGGCGAAGGCAGAGGACAGGACAGGGTTAGGAGCAGCACAGGGGGTTGGGGGAAGTGGGCCTGGAGGTCAGAATCAAATGGTTATGAGGATAGAGAGCTTTGCAAACAAAAAATAACGTCCTTGCCTTTCTCAGAGCTCAATTTATTCCAGCCCTGGCTACATCCAATGCTCATGACCACCACTCCCACCCCCCATCAAATCTACCTGATACAGGTTTGTTCTACCTGCTTGAGAGGACAGGGAAGAGTCTCGGCTCTACCATCTACTAACCTTTATCTTGGGCAAATTGCTTCACCTCTCTGAACCTGTTTTCTCATCTGTCAAATGGGCTCAGTGTTACATTCCTATAATATAGGGCTGTGGAGAAGAGCAAATGGGATGAGGAATGTAAATGCTATGGGGTGTGCTAATTGCTAAGAACATGGGTGAAGGGGAGACACAGACCATGCTCTCAGCGAGATTACAGTCTAGCAAGGAAGATAGAGTTTAAATATATAACCACGATTCACTAAATATAAGGTCCCTCTGTTTTACAGAGGAGTACACTGCTGCTTGACAAAGTGAAAAGGCTAGCCCGAGGCAACACAGCGAGGTAAAGGCAGGGCCAGGATTGTGCCGAGTCCCCTGGTTTTCCTGTCAAGCCCACAGTGTGTAAAGAGCCTGTGATCTGTTATTAGACGGAAGTTCAAATCCCAGCTCTGCCACTTACCGAGGAGTGACCTTAAGCAGAGGAGAGGCCCCACCTCTCTGAGCCTGTGTCCCCATGGGTAAGGGGGGAAGGGCTGCTGTCAAGGGTAAAGCACCGACTATCTCAATCGGCTCACCGCCCTCAGGTGCTGCTGCTTCTCCATCACTTTCCCACCTACCTTGGGGGGCAGGTGAGCGTGGGGGTCCTGTGGTCCTTGAGGACCTTCCTAGCAACCCTAAGAGCCTTTGACAGAAGCAGAATAGGGGTTTAGGCTAGCTCCAGGGTCCATTCCAGAAACTTCTCTACACCTAGTCAGGCCCCTCAGCCAAGTCTGGGCTTCAGAATAACCACCATGTGGGGCGAATGGAACTCGGCCATGGCTGAGCTGATGCCACGTGCAAGGCCAAGGCCAAGGTCCAGCCCCCAGCATGGCCCTGGTCACTCCTCTTCCTCAAGCGCCCCACACCGTGGCAGACTGGAGCGCCCACTGGGAGTGGGGCCTCCTTGTCTCCTACAGCCCCTGCTTAACCCAGACTGTGGGGCAGGACCAGGTGGGCAGCAGCGTGACAGACAGATCTGACCAGGGTAACCAGGGCACATCCTGGGGCAGCGTGAAGGCAGCTGTGCCCTGTATGTCTGAGCCTCAGTTTTCCACCTGGGAAATGAGGAGCTAACCACACCTATCTCACAGGCTTGTGGGGAAGTCAGCTTCCGCAGATAAAAGCCCTTAACAACCTGGGCACCCAGGAGGAGGGCAATCATGCCAACAGTGTCCCGTTCTCCTCACCTAAAGGCCAGAGAGAATTTGAAATTCTCTGCGCCATGTTGCTGGCCCAGTCGAGTTCCTTTGATTGACTATAGATGTCCTGACTTACTAAATTATAGTGATTTATGGGTTGAGTATTCTTGCCTGGGAAATTCCATGGACAGAGGAGCCTGGAGGGCTACAGTAAATGGGGTTCCAAAGAGTCACGACTGGGCGACTAACACTTTATTCCTGTTGTGATTTCATCCTTTTGTCTGGAAATTTTGATCTGAGATCTGATGTGAACTGACCCTACTGATGAGGCACAATTGGTCTGTTGGCTCCAAGGGTGTTCTTTTCCAAGAAACCAACTTAAAATGTCTCAGGGAGCTCCCTGGTAGCCTAGTGGTTAGGATTCTGGGCTTTAATTGCTGGGGCCCTGGTCGGGGAACTGAAATCCCATGCAGGCAAAAAAAAAAAAAAAGATTCCGTACCCAGGTAGTGGGCTGGATGAAGTACATTAAAAAACATCAGCGTTTATTGAGTCCTGAATGCTGTTTCATTTCTTTCCACCCATCCCTGATGAAACAGCTTTATTGTTTTTTTCTAATTACAGAAAAGACACCTCTGCTGGGTAAAAAAGTGGTGGTGGTAGGGGTGGAGAGGGTGTTCTGTAGACTCTGGCCCCCACCCTGGGCAAGCCTCAGGAGTTGGAGGCCCTCCCTTTCTGCCAGCCAGTGCTCAGGGCCTGTCGGAGGAATTTAAATGAGCAGAAACTGGCTGCCTGCGTAGGGGGAGGGCTGGGATGAACTTGGCTGGAGACCAGCCAACTAGGGGAAAGGCACTTTGCACCCAGGGGCAAGGACTCCTGCTGTTCCTCCAGGCCCAGCTTCCCCTGCAGGCTTGTGGCTATCTCCCCAGCCACCAGGCCAAACCTCTGGCATCAGGCACCCAGACGGCTTATCTGAACAACTTTTCCTCAGTCCGCACACCATACAGATGGGCCTCCTGGCACTCACAGGGGGCCCAGGCTCAGAGAGGTGAGATAACTCGCCCCATGACACACGGCACAGGTGTGATGTGCACGCAGGTGTGTCCAGCCTCAAAGCCTGTGCACTCTGACTACCCTGAGCCTTCCTAGAAAGAGCGGCTGAGGCGGGCTGAGATGACCTCTCGTGATGACCAGTTCAGAGGTCTGGGACTTGGTGTTCCAGCTTTGGCCAAGAAGATGGAAGTCCAGTTGGCAAGTTAGCATCCCGCAGGTCACTGATAAGGTGTGGGCTTTCAAGGCCAGGAAAACCTGAGTAGCTCTATCTTGCTTTCCTCCTAGACACCAAGGAAGCCAGCGCAGGCAGCCCCCAGCCCTGCCTGCTGGGAGTCAACTTGGCACCCCCTACCCCCTCCTACCCCAGTCCGCAGCCCTGGGAAGACACACAGGCAGAAGTCACATGACCCCATGAAGCAATATGAAGCAACGCTTTGGAGCTATGACCACCCCGTGCTTATTGACACAGCAGTGGCCTTGGGAAATAACCCCATTTTGATCCTGTGACTGGGGTCGAGTCTTGGCCTCAGTGTCTCACTGCAGAAGTTTCTGCTTCCTTTCCCTACCTGCAAAGTGGGACCACTTGGAACCCCCACCTGCCTCCCCTGCTGCAGCTGCCCAGGGGAGAATGTATATAAAGGGTCCGGCAACTAACAGCATGCATTAAGGGGTCAGTGTTCTCCCTCTTGACCCTCATGGACCCCACTTCCTTCCAAGCAGAGAGAAGAAAAAGAGAATAAGGTTTATAAAGACACTGAGCTGGATCAACTCCCAACTCTGTTCTCTCCCATTCCTAAGGCTCCTCCTATAAGGTCAGCGATGGCGTTCAATAGGAGGGTTCAGAGGTGAAGGGACAGGCCTGAGGCCACACCTAAGTTCCACACAAGGATGTAAACTCAGGTCTGTCTGACTCTCACTTTTCTCCTCTTACAAACAGGACCAAAGGTACTGGGAGCACATAGCTGAGGCCAGGTGGGAGGCTGCTTGCCTGAAATGGGCAGAAAGTGGCTGTGGGGTTTCTAAGGCCCTGCTTCCAGCTCCTCTTGGGGGTCATTCCTTCCAGGGACACCCAGGGCCGCCACACATACTCCCCTGGGTGTTATATCCGGATGGCTGAGCCCATGGGGTGCCTCCCTGATCCCATGAGCTCAGCAGAGCCTCATGTGCCTAATGTCTTGTACAGGAGGCCAGCAAACCCTCTTAGAGAGGCTTTACAGATAGCCCCAGGCTTTGCACTTTTCTTCATCCTTTTCAAAGTACTTCCAGCCATTGCTGATTAATAAATACATAGCCAGGTGGGTAGGGCTGGCATTACGCTTTTCATTTTATAAGGGAACACAGAGAGGCTGAG